TACTGGAAGCCTTTATTATGTCTGTTGCAGTAGGAACACCAACACGCTTGAATGTAATGCCCTGAAATTTAAAAGGCAAAATACAAATTAAAATTGTAGACCATAAGTAAGTCAGTAGACCATAAGTAAGTCAGTAGACCATAAGTAAGTCAGTTCTAAAGAAGCAGTATTGAATTCCAACAAAACAGGCATTTAAGCCTATCATTTTTTTCTTATTTTCACCTTTTAACTCCCAGTTTTTCCTAGTGAAAATTGCAAGGTTAAGGTTACACGAAAATGGGTAACACTTAAAAAGGCTTTTATGTACCAGGTCTGTTTAAATGATTCAGTGACCTTAAACTGATATAAACAGAGAGCATTTTGGCAGAGTCCTGGGGAAAATAAAGTCTTACAAATTCTAAATTATTACTTTAGTCTGATTGATTCGGATTTAACACAAGTTACAGAGCCTTAGTGTAAATGTGAGTCTGCGTTTTAAGTGACAACAATAAACAATCTCATCCCAACTGAACACTTAACTGGCAAGAAAACTACCATATGGAATAGTGCACAAAGTGCAAAAATGCAAGTAACACCTCCCAGTAAAGCTGCACATATGCACATCACTGATCAGATCACAACCAGGATGAACACTATACTGTTAGTCCTGTGAGCTTTTCCTCACTTCCACAGGGACAACCTCACTGGCGTTTGCAGAAAAAGCGTGGGCACGTGCAGAGCTCTCCCTGCTCCACAGCAGCTGACAGTGCACCCACACTCCCCAAGGCACCCGAACCTCCACTGGGTGCCTCCGGAGCTGCATTCTGTAACTGAGCTACTGCACAAAACATTACACTTTAACACGCCACCCTTAACACGTCAGAGCGCTCGCAGACAGAAGGAAACTGTACTGTACCGCTTTTTGTTCCACGTGTCTCAGCTGGTACTCTTCCTTTCGCTGGTAAAAGCAGATGCAGATCCCAGTGCGCCCAGCTCGACCCGTGCGCCCAGAACGATGGATATAGGACTCCACATCCTTCAGAACAGACAGCCCTGTGAGTCACCTAATTCACTCGCATTTAATCACCTCATTGCGCCCACCCAGCTTGTAGAAGCTATTGTAGTTTAAGCCTGAGCAATGCACAGTAACTGCATTAAGAGAATTAAATGAAAAAACAGTTTCACTAAAGTCAAGCAAATATGCTTTCCCATAATCCTCTAAAAAAGATGGTTTGAAAGCCAGAGCCATAAGCATGGATCAACTTGTTTATCCATCACCACACACTTGGAGTGTGTGTACCTCTACAACCATCCCACTCACCCTTCTGCACATCAACGTGAGCATGGTTACTGTGATATTAATAGCAAATCCACTGAAACATTGTTTCTTTTAAACACTTAATTTAAGCCAATGTTCTCACTGTTGGGGTCCCTTCCTCATATACACCCCTACTTAGTGAATAATTCTTCCCGCTGCTTCCAGACTCACAATCACCACACCCAGCCTTGAAAGGAGAGGCTTTGAACAGCCTCCTAAAAAGGCATTTTAAGACCATCTTTAAACATGCTGGGGACTGACAGACTCAAAAATTCCTGTAAGAAACTATTTCTACCTACTAGGGACATTTCTCACCCTTATATGCAATGCTGATAAAACTGTGTGGGCAATATCATCAGCTGACAGCATGTACTACTTGATAATGTCATTACAAATTATGACAACACACCCAACATAACAGTCTCCTACCTTTGGTGGTGAGCTTTGTACAACCAGGTCAACTTCTGGGATATCTAAACCACGGGCAGCTACATTGGTTGCAACCAGAACTTTAAATGAACCATTTCTAAAACCTTTCAGTGTGATCTCTCTTTGCTTCTGAGGAATGTCACCATGCAACGACTGGCAATCCTGAAAAACAAAATTATTTTAAAACTGTACCAAAATCCAAGACAGTGCTCCATTTTATGGTCAGTTTTGGATACAACACCTTGGTATTTGATAAGTACTTTATGGCAAGATACAGAAGAACTGAATTACCAGAGTTTATATTTAGGAGTCTGACAATATTTACTCAGTAATTCTTATTCATATCCCTCAAAGGCCCTTAACAACAGCAGGAAAACAGAATTGCAATATGTGTCTTATCTCCACGTCTAATTACTGTGACATAGGAAAGAAACTATGCCCTAACTTGCCATCCACACCATCTATGCAAGGCTTGGCTGTCTCAAAATAGTAACTTACAATTTTTGTTTAATGTCAGAGAGAAAGGCTAAAATCCCATCTGACCACCTGCAAAAGCCTGCCTTATCCACTCTGAAACTCTCTTTAAAACCTACTCAGCATAGGTCTGCTATCAACATAGGGCTGATCAACAGCTCTGACAGGTTTTGTTACTTAACACAGATGATGAAATACCTGTTTGATGGAAGCATTCAGAGCCAGTTCATTTGCTTCCTTTTTGGTCTCACAGAACACAATGGTCCTCCCATGGCTGCCACTGTAGACCTGGATGACATCCCCAATAACTGCAGCTCTCTGAGACCAGTGACACTCTATTGCCAAATGCTGTGGAGAAGAATTCCAGTGCTTAGCTTACATAAAAACATAAGAGTCTTTTAAAATACATTTGAAACTGTAAAATACAGAAATGGTAAAGAGTTATACAGTTTCCTGATGGGGAAACGTGCTAACTCACGTTCCTGGAACATGCAAAATTCACAGGGCTCTTATGTCCACCACAACTAGTCTAATGGTCAGTAAAATAACTACAGTAAGAGGAAATCAGGCACATATGGATAGTATTCCTTGCTATGGAATTTACTGCACAGCCAACAAGGGCCTACTGAGCTGGGGCACTACAGGAAGTTTGAAAAAAAAAAATCTCCTGTATACAGAATAGCTCAAATCAACTGTGATGTCTGCAGTGATTTAGAAGAGCCAGGTTGACCTGTGTGCCTTTTGCTTCCCACTCGGATAAATCCAGATACAGAATCGACAACCAAATCCTCATTGCATGTGAGAGTGCATATGGTTACTGGATGCTGGGAGAAGAGAGGCATATCCTAAACCTAGAAACACCTGACTAGGCAGTCATGTGCCTTATGCTTAAAAACACGTGCTCAAAACAACTTCCAGCATCATTCTGATGATGCACCTTCTGAAGCATAAAAAAACGAGGTAAAAGCCTGAAAACATTCCATGTTAGACAGATTACTCACTTCTACTGTTGTAGCAGCCTTTTGGGTTCTTTTCCCAATAAGGTCAACCTGTTCATATCTAGACTTCATGTATTTCTTGGCCACATCATACACCCAGTGTGGGCAAGTTGCAGAAAACAGCAGTGTCTGGGGATTGTCTTCAGAATCTTAAAAAAAACCAGAAAAACGTTTCACAAACTTCATACATTTCGTCTCACAGATGCACACAAGTTGATTACACGGGTGATTAAAAACCCAAGTTTAAATGTCAGTACATAAAATAAAGAAGGCAGTTCAGTTCTTTAAATTCACGCATTATCGACATCTGGAGAAAAAACACTCTGGGAAGTCCAAATATTTTCCAGATTAGGAAAAAGTTACTATGACCAAAAAATCCAATCTGTTTTCAAGCAGTGTAAAAGGTGAAAAGCTAATTCATTTTAATTAGAAGAAGTCCAAGTACAACTTAAAGATAGATGTCAAAGACAGTTATTTACAGGTCCCCAGGTACTGGACTTCAAGCTTTGCAAAGGTTTTGTGAATGATTCCCACTTTCACGTTTCTTCCTCATGAACTGCATTAACAACATATAATATTCCGCCATTTCTAAACAAAGCCACCTTACCACTTTCACAAAAATACACCTGAATTTTAGCAAACTAAATTACTACCGGTATTTTCTACTATTTGTTTAAATATTGAGATTACCCTTCTTGTATGCAACTC